GGAGCATGTAATGAAACGTTTGGATAGAAGGAATGGCGTGCAGTGCTATGTAGCGCGTTGGTGAATTTCTAGCCAACACTGGTTCGTTTTGCTGGGAGCGTTTGTATAATAATGATTGCTTGAGGACTTAATTTAATTACATTTTGCTGTTTGTAAAAGCTTCCTTACCATATAAGAACGTCGTAAGAGCGATTATAGGCGTGAAGTCAAATAATTTGTCGGTACACGGCAGCCAGGAAATGCGCACCCAAACAAAACATCACGGACGTGCGCCGGGTCGGGGCGACTCTCTCACCCCGGCGGCGGCTCCCAGCCCGTCACCGGCTCGCCGAGGGGTCGACAGGCGCTCCCACGCCGGTGACCCGGCGCGCTCTCTGACCGTAATGGGGTCGGGTCGACCGGCGCGCGCCGCCGTGAGAGAGCCGGCCGCTCCCACGCCGCCGCTTCCGGTGGCCGGGAGCGGCGGCGGCGGCTGGCCGGCGGCGGCTGGCCGGCGGCGGCGGCGGCGGCTGGCGGCGGCTGGCCGGCGGCGGTGGGCGGTGGACGGCGTGTGCCAGCCACCGGCCGGTCGCCGCTCGGGTCACAAGGGTCAGCTGTATGGTGGGACCGGCGCGGGCTAGGTCGACGGGCAGCCGCCGGCCGTTAGGGCAGCTTCCCAGGCGCCGCGAGGGATCATTATGTGGGTGGGACCGGTGTCCGGAGAATCCTCAGGACAGGTGAAGGTGGAAGGTGACAAAAAGTCATAGACTTGTTCAAGGGGATATCCGTATGCTCTGGTTCATTAAAGCTGGCCTAATTTATTGCCTGACAATTAAAGCACGCAATAAAATGAATTAATGAATGGGTGAATGAATGAACGTTCTTAAGTATGAGCTCAATGAAAATTTAAGCGACATCCGTGCATGCATGTGCTTGGAGATAAGATGGATTGCTTGATAGTTTTACTGGTAGGTTAGGTACTGAACCTTTCTCTATCCTGAACATTTCTAAACATCATTTTGTCAATGGCCTGGCCATCAATATGAATGTATGATTGGCAGATGAATGAAGGATAGATGGGATAGATAGACAAGATGCATGAATGTGTGCATGAATGAAAGAACGGATGACTGAACACCGAAATGGCTGAATCATCGCGTGAATGAATGAAATATTTCTAGCATTTACAAATATACTAATAGGTTATCTCTCAATACACCCGCCGCGTCACTGCTCTCATCCATGACCCTCCGAACGACGCACACTGGCGCTTCTTCTCACGACTCCGCTCCAGCGCTGCCGACCGAGCCGGGACACTCGTCCCCACGCTCGGCGGCGCTGCGGCCCGATCAGTGCCGCCTGACCGGCGCGTCGCCTGGTCCCGCCGGGGGTCCTTCGTCCGTCCGCGGTCCACCGATCACGCTCCCGTCACGGACAGCCACCCACGGCGGCGCCGTTCGTGCCGGGACCTATCACTTCCGGGCTGTTTAAACACGGCCAGACGGGACTGATTGGCTGACCCAGTGCCGTAATAGAATGCTGGTGGTCCGTAATGAGTGGTTTGATCGGAAATGACGCGTTTAGAGGAGCCGTTTGGGCCGGGCTGGTCGAATTTTCCGTAGGAAGTCGGAAATGTTAGTGCGGAAAGGAAGTGCTAGTTGAATTATATCGATGGGAGAACGGAAGACGCCAGCGCCAGTTTTTATGCCTTAAAATTGTCAGCATAAGTGATTTGCTTTCCCCCACACCCTTCCGGGAATGAATTCGACATTGTTCAGCGTGAGCTATGACCACCTACATCGGAATTCAACCAGGAGTTGCTATAACAGTTGAATCTTTGACATCGACAAACACTGTTTGTTTTATAGGTCTTACTTTCACAATAATTTAAATTTAGTAAATAGTTTAGTGAATGTACCACAAAATGTGTATGATCGAGGTAAAATGGAACACTTTGTTTGACTGTTTTCCTGGAACCTCCCCGAAAGAAAAGCTCGTAATCCAACATAAAAAATAATATACTTTCATTAAAAAATAATAAGCTGCTAAATGCAAATCTGCTCGCTCATCTGACCACGATCTCTCTCCGTCTATTACAGCCGGCGCGCCACAGTAAGCTGGAAAAGGCGGACATTCTGGAGATGACGGTGCGCCACCTGCAGAACGTGCAGCGTCAGCAGCTGGCCATGGCCGTCGCCTTCGACCCGTCCGTCCTCACCAAGGTCAAGAACGGCTTCACAGAGTGCGGGCAGGAGGTGGCCAGGTCAGTGCAGAGTCGTGAAAAATGACTGTCACGTGTAGACCGGACTTTCATGCAATACAAATAGGTAAAATTGAAACGTGCTTGGATAAAACGTAGGTGCTCTGCCAAACCAGCTTAACATTAAACTATTTCAATCCATCTCAGTCTTTGGCTTGCACACCTGACAAATAGCTACTACCGTTGACTTGATAAAACTGTCGCTCTTGACCGTGACGTCCGGATGAATCGTCCTTGACCCTGACCTCTATCACCGGCAGGTATGTGGGCCGTATCGAAGGCGTCGACAACGGCGTCAGGAAGCGTCTTCTAGCGCACGTGGAGCGCTGCGTCTCAAATCTTCAGCAGATGACGCCGTTGTCCTTCTCCGCCATGGCTTCCCCGAGCGTCATGAGTGTTCCGGTTCTGCCGCCGCCAGCGCCGCCTAGCGGTGACCTCAACAACAACGGAGCGCATGCGCGTCTTCTGGCCGGTCTGCAGACCTTGATGGCCAATCGTCTACTGAATGGAGAACTGGGACCCCCACAGGCCACCCGTCCACCGGCCACGGCCACCAGCACGCCTCAGAGAAGCTTCGCGCCGCCAGCGCCATCTCTTGGCGGCCGCGGGACTGGAGCTTTGACGCCGTCGGCGTTTGAGCGCGTGCGACCGTCAGCGGCGGGCGCTCAGTTGGTTCGCCCCATTCCGATCCCGCTCGATCTGAAGAAGCGAGCGTTCGAGGCCGAGGCTGAGAGTGAGGGAGAGAGGCCGGTCAAGCGGCAGCGGGTGCCGTACAGTGAGAGCAGCGAGGAGTCAGAGGTCAGTGACCTCGGCGTGGACCGGAAACAGGCCGATGACATGTGGAGACCGTGGTGAAGAGAGCGGAAGTCCGTGCCCTATCACTGTGATATCATGTGAGCTGTTGTGATCAAGTACAACGACATAGAAATGTTGATCAAGTACAAAACAACGATAAAAATGCTAGTTTTTAGTCGCTTGCTTTGTATTTTAAGTATGAGTTACGTGCATGTTTTTGCTGTGCGCTGTAAGAATGGGGCGCTCTTGAAACGTTCCTGCTATGAAGTCGTCATCCTTTTGTAAATATTTGACGTTTTATGGTCATGTCTTACAGCGCAAGTGCAGTTGCGTCCTCCAGCAGCCAACATTTACCTTTGCATGTAAGCTGTCGACATGTGTGTGTGACATGTGTATAAGAACCCATGTTGCATACGTTTGATGGTTCTTCGCCGTGCATCCACTTCCATTGTTACCGTGCGCGTGACTATGTTCTGTGAACCGTTGGTATGAGCTCGTGTGCGTCACTTTTGTGGCAGTTGGCTGGTTGAAAAACCAATAAAAGAAATGTTTGAGACCGTATGTGACGTTGAAAGAGCTCAAAGATCACACACACATACACACACTGCTGGGTTCTTTTGTGGTTCGTTCGGTCCACCGTATTGCGTACGTAACACATGCACACATTTTTTAAAACGCACACAATTGCGTACCTACGCAATACACGCGAATATTTTGAAGCGTTTCCTAGCCGACAACACACGCGCACCAAAAATGGCTAAATTTCACGTGCATACCCCTATTACCTACGCACCCCAAAGCATGACTTGCATTTCAAATTTGTTTTATTTATAGGTAGGCAGGCAGTAGGCATACATTTAATAAAATCCACGCGTGTCCAAATAAAAACCATGGTTTTCCTACTTACAAAAATACTAGCCTTTTTATAAAGCTAAGTTTAACTCAATGCTATCGCTTTGTGCAAATGATATATTTCCTACCTCCTCTTACTTGGCTGCCGTTCGCAATGCCGGACAGCCATGCGTCAATCCATCTGCACATAGGTATAAGTAGAATATCCAAGACAGTTAGGATAAATGATAACAATAACACGTCAAATGTATATTTAAACACACACAAAGCTTTCGGTATGAAAATACCTTGATCACTGTGTTAACAGAAATGAGGACAGAAATTGTCCTCATTTCTGTCCTCAACTCAAGTCAAATCTGTCCTCATTTCTGTTAACACAGTGATCAAGGTATTTTCATACCGAAAGCTTTGTGTGTGTTTAAATATACATTTGACGTGTTATTGTTATCATTTATCCATAGGTATAAGTCATAATGATCTTGCACTGCTAATTACAGTCTCACTATCGAGTATCGACCAGTGGCCGAGTAAGCAAGGATTGAGCTGTTGACTTAGTACCTACTCGCGAGAGTTCCCCTCCGTGATTGTCGTTCCTATACAGCTTATCGATAGTTAGCGATCACCCGACCAACGAAAGATAAACAACGTGAATGCACTATGCACTTCATAAGTGCAAATATAAACATAGGAAATGCCTTCCTCCGAAGTCCAGCATGCAGCAAATATAGCGCATTCATATATATCATTAATTGTAAGACCGCTTATAAGGTTACATGAACCTAAATTCTAAAAACTGAAAATATCAGCGCCTGATTCAGCAAACACGAAGTAGTCCGTATCAGCGGCGCACACGAATCGATAGGCGTCCCGCGGAAGCAGTGATCAGAGATACGCGGTATGCAGCAGGTAGCTAATATTGCTAATGGAGTGCGCCTCTTGGCATCCAGCTTGCGTATCACTCTGTGCTGTGCCGGCGGGCAAGATTGCTCCAACGCTCAGGTGCGCTGTCGATCGGCGGAGGCGGCTGCGGCGGGCGGGAGCGCGGGCGGGGGCGGGGGCGGCCGGCCGAGCAGCCCGGTCGCGCACATTGATCGGCACCCGGTCCGGTCGGTTCGTCGGAAGTCGTCGGTGCCGACGACGGGCCCGACGGCGGCGACGCGGCCGAGTGGGGACCTGAACGGCGTCCCGGCTGTCGTTCAGTTCCCGGGATGGCCGGCTCGTCAGGTGTTGGTCAGTTGCAGTCGCCTGGTGACACAGAGGCAGATCGATAGGGAGGCTGAACGCGGGGAGACCGTCGACACCGGGTTCCGGTGAGGCGTCGGTGCGGAGGAGAAGCGGTGCGCGCGGCGGACTGACGACACAAGCAACAAGTGGACAATCGTGGGAGCTGCACCGGGGGCTGCTGACGCTGTCAGCTCGTCCAGGTGCTGTCTGTGCCAGCGGAGCTGAAGAGCGTGACGAGGCTGGACAACGTGAGCAGCGGTTTCTGCCTCGCTGTGATAGATAGCTGTGATCGAGGTAAGTGCGAATGGGTGCCGAAGGGTTGGCTGCGCGTAAGAGTGAGGGTGAGTAGTTGTCTCGTGACTGTTTCTCTCTCTCTCTCTCTCTCTCTCTCTCTCTCTCTCTCTCTCTCTCTCTCTCTCTCTCTCTCTCTCTCTCTCTCTCTCTCTCTCTCTCTCTCTCTCTCTCTCTCTCTCTCTCTCTCTCTCTCTCTCTCTCTCTCTCTCTCTCTCTCTCTCTCTCTCTCTCTCTCTCTCTCGGCAAAATAGATAACAACGGTTATCTGAGACCCATTGACTTTATGCGAGCACAAGAGTTTGAGTTCATTCGGGAAAAAGTATACCATTCCTACAGTGGATTTGTGACATACATTTAGGTATATGCACAGAGCATACATTTAACAGTGTGCAAGGCCGTTGTCCAGCCAATCCTTTGTTCTGAACATTGTTGTGGTGTACCGTGACAACAATAACTGTGGACCATTAACAGCCCTGACCTGACCCGACCCGTCCTGGGGTCGACAGTCGGTCAATGATCGACGCTCGCCCCACCATGGCCGAGGCCTTGGCTGAAGAGCCCGACTACAACATCTTCGAGAACAAGACGGGCCTAGCCGAGGACCTCAAGTTTCTGGCGAGCATGCCGGAGCTGTGTGATGTGACGTTTCTGGTCGGCGACACACGGGAGCCCGTCTGCGCCGTCCGCGCCGTCCTGGCCTCCCGCAGCAGGTCAGTACCTATATTTGGTGCAAAAGGCCAGGGGCAGGGGTCCAGGTCACTTCTGGCTCTTCCATTCTGTTCGTGCAGTTCTGACATCCTCCAGTTCGTCAATGCCTTTTGGCTAAAGGACTGGCTGATTTTGAATTTTGCTATAAAGGCGTCCCAAGACTAAAATCTCAGTAATGTCGCAGGTACCTAGCTCATTCAGCCAAATATATGATCGAAATTAAGCGGTTTTTTTAATTTACGATAACATGAAAGGTGAAGAGTGCTATGCATTTTCTCTTATGTTTCAGAGTATTTCACAAGATGTTTTACTCGTCGTCATCACCTCAGAGGAAGAAAGATCAGCCTCAGAAGGAGAATAAGCTCAGGTTATTTCTGAAAAGAAGCAGCGAGCCACTCCTCAACATTCAAAATCCGACAGAAAAGGTACGACCACCACGGGCAGTTGCGCTATGAGTAGGTATTTTTGTCCATCATTTTGTTATGACTGTTCTTCAATTCAGCATAAGGCAATACTGACTGGTATTTGTATATTGTATGCCTACACACATAACACGTCTTCTTTGAACTTAATATTCTTCTTTAAAGAGAATAGCTTATCTTGAGTAAATGACGATTGAGGCGACACAGATTTACTAAGCAGTTAATGAGAGCTGCTTTAATAATTCTTATGAAATATGAATGTCCTCTTTCGTGCTAGAATCGTGTTTCGTTTTTCATAATCCAACAAAAAAGAAAATTGGTTATTTCATTCTTACTAAATTTGGAAAACGGCCAAAAAACATTTACATAATTCAACGAATTTCGATTACGATTTATATGCACTTTTACTAAAGCCAAGCTATTCTCTATTTGTTATACCTATATCACGATGATCTCGCTATTTGTGGTTACGATTATGGCTATTAATTGTGTTTAAGCTACACGTCCGACGTCCGCTAGTCTCAGTCAATGGATATGTGTCAGCTTTTATGTGTATTCAAATGTTTTTGGTCTGCTTATGAACAAGCTACCTTATTTCGAACAACTGGTTCATAAAGTGTTAAATCACATAAAATAAAGAGTAAACGTTTACTAGTGCCCGTAAAATCATATGATTTTTATATTATTCATCAAATCATCAATCAGACTGAATTCCTTCATATATTCATTCTTCTCGCTCTGTCACCTTTGTCGGCATGGTTCATATTTGTGTGTTAAGTGTCATTGGCCGTTTGTCCATGGGTTTGTTTGTCCATATTCGATGTTATTTTGCTGTTGTCGCGGGAAGTTATCGATGTGCCGTAAAACTACAGGTGTTATCAAATGTTCTGACTTTTTGCAGCGTCATGGCTTCTCACAACAGCTGGCTACTATCCCCGAGGTAAAACGTTGCTCTTTTTACCTTGACCTTCACCTGACTGCACCCCCACCCCACCCCTACTCAAACACCTTAGTTATTGCGACATAGATACCGATCCCCCTCCCGACCGAGTATGTCACGTTCCCCAGCACATTACCGGCCAACATTTATTTAACATAAAAGGATTATACGAACTGTCTGGCTTTCTAAATGACCGGCCATGACACCAGGCACGGCCATCCAGCCTCTCGCCAATATAGAAAGAAACGCGAACTCAGTTGAGTTAATTAACATCTGTCGAGTTACCGGTAACATTATGCTTGCAAGACAGTATATTGCTTGGGCGAATTCCCGGATGCTGGTTACCTCAATCCATGCCCCATCGACACTGAGCAGACAAAGCGCATGCGTGATGCCAGTCAACTGCATGAATGGTCTTAATGCATGAATTTAGTTACGGGGAAATGGGTATAAATGTTTCCTCAATGGCTTGTCCAAGCGTCACGTACTCGTACGTCTTTACTACGACTAGTAGGTACCCGTAGTGTAAGAAAAAAAACTGATTTACAAATTAATTTTTCTTATATGTAAAGCAATCGTTTATCAAAATCCTGGCAGCTTGAAAAAGGCTCGAATTTAAGCAAACATGACCAGCTATGAAGAGCTTCCGAAATATTAGAAGTAGAATCGTGCTTTATTTCAAACCAAGAGGTTCAAACGCGAAACACATACAATTAATAACCGAAGGTTTGTAGTTAAAACACTATTCGTTAGAATTGTGTTTTTCTATTGAAAAACAAATCTGAGTTCCCTACAATTTGGCAAAAGCTGCCTGAGTATTTATCGGTTTACTACATATCTATGTCCATGAAGCGACAGGAATGCCATAGAAGCCGAACTCCTCAAATGCCCACCCAGCAGCTATATGTGTATAATATATAACGTCCCTGTCTATTGTTTGCAGCCGAACCAGAGTCAGCATCAGACGCTCATCATTGAGGAGTTTGAGCCAGACGTGTTCCGTCAGCTCATCGAGTACGTTCACACAGGCTGCGTGACGCTGCAGCCGCGCACTCTGCTCGGTGAGTGTGACAGAGACACAGCACTCTATTGGTGAGTGTAACGACACTCTGCTCGGTGAGTGTGACAGAGACACAGCACTCTATCGGTGAGTGTCACAACACTCTACTCGGTGAGTGTGACAAAGTCACAGCACTCTATCGGTGAGTGCCACGACACTCTGCTCGGTGAGTGACACGGCACTCTGCTCGGTGAGTGTGACAGAGTCACAGCACTCTATTGGTGAGTGTCACGACACTCTGCTTGGTGAGTCATACGGCACTCTGCTCACTGCTCAGCGAGTGTCACGACACTCCGGACGGCGAGTGACACTGCAGCCGCGCACTCTACTCGATGAGTGACAAGGCACTCTGCCTGGTGAGTGTCGAGAGTCGAGACACTCTGCCTGGTGAGTGTCGAGACTCGAGAGTCGAGGCACTCTGCCCAGGCTGCAAACACTATACTATATGTAGTTCATCCTGTCCTCTGCAAATCTGACGCACAACCATCTCTCTCTCTCTCTCTCTCTCTCTCTCTCTCTCTCTCTCTCTCTCTCTCTCTCTCTCTCTCTCTCTCTCTCTCTCTCTCTCTCTCTCTCTCTCTCTCACTCACTCACTCACTCACTCACTCTCTCTCTCTCTCTCTCTCTCTCTCTCTCTCTCTCTCTCTCTCTCTCTCTCTCTCTCTCTCTCTCTCTATCTCTCTCTGCTCTAGGTCTAATGAACGCCGCCGACTATTACGGACTGGACGAGCTGCGCCGTGCCTGCGCCGGCTTCGTCCAGTGTTGCATCAATGTGGACACCGTGTGCGCCCTGCTGGCCTCCGCAGAGCGATACATACAGTACAAATGCACCAAGTCCATGGTTCAGAAGGTGAGATCGGGGGGAACGGTCCATAAAGACGGCTAGTACGAGCCGAATTGTAATGACACGAAACGTGGGTTCCTACCATACTACGTCGTAGCTAAACGAGGCTCATGTCTAGGACACGCCTGCAACTCTAATAACAGTGTGTGCCGCACCGTCTGCCACCCAGTGCAGTGCACAACAATCGATCGGTTCTGGTTCCAGTGGGATGCTGCGCCTTTTGAACCACTCGGTGGGTAGCGGTCCCCTCGGGCTGGTGTCAGTTCTCAGGCTTTTTAACAGCTAATTCCGGTTTAGCCAAATATAAACGGTGAATCGTGCGAGATTTAGCGTCTCCGTCAAATACTTCCATACTCCCGGCTCTCCGTAGTAAAAGATGTACAAGATTTAGAAGACGTTATTATTCAAAACAACATAGGGCCAAAACAACAAACAGACTGCAATAGTTAAAGATAGACGCGCAACTAAGATTTGGACAAGAATTACCCATTGTGGGGGAATGCTTCCCCCAAGCCAAATAACAGTAGCAGTCACCTACCTCGGACGCTGCCAGCCACGAAGCGCACCGATAGACGACGAGCACTACGTTTTAAAAGGCCCGGGGTAGCGGCCGGCCCCGTCCCATGACGGCGGCTGCACCTGAGTCCTACCCAGGCGCCACTGACATTACAGAATAAATGATGTTTGGCAGTTAAACTATACAAGAATTATGTCCGTCAGACACGTAATTCGTAAGCATATTAATATATTGCATCCGTTCATACTAATGTATTTCTATTTCTCAATATTTTAAAACATGCTTGTCATTTATATACCACCTTTTCCGCACCTATGACCGAACATTACATACATCCACCATAAATCTTCTTTCCTTTACCCAGGAAGATGAATGTGTATACAAATAGTAAAAAAAGGACTGGAGCTGTCCCGAGCCCCTCAATCATTTTGTCCTGCCCGCTGCAGGTGCTGGAGTTTGTCGACATGCACGGTAACGAGGTGCTCAGTTTGGGCTCGTTCACACTGCTGCCCCAGCACGTGGTCAGACTGATCCTCGTGCGAGAGCTGAACGCAGACGAGCTCACCAAGTTCCAGGTGAGATACGATTTAAATAGGCCGGCCGAGATTTAGAACGTTTTAGAATAAAATAAACGCTTCTAGAATAGATTAGTGAGCGTAAATAACGTAACATTCAACAACAACAACAACAACAACAACAACAACAGCAACACTAGGGCTCCTGATTTTCAGGGTTATTTTCTCGTAAAAGGTCAACATTAAAGCATAGGAGCTTTATCAGTGACAGTTATAAAGACACATTTGCATTTTATAGACATTTTTACCAGAAAAAAAAAACTTTAAAATGCGATCTAGATAACTATATCATTTATTAGACAATTCTTTATAAAAGCTTTATTTTCCAGGCGGCTCTGATGTGGTCCAAGAAGTATTGCGACAACTCGAACCTGGACCTGGGTGAGGTCATCTCCACCTTCCTCGAGTACATCCAGTTCCACAAGGTGCCGGCCACGATCCTGATGAAGGACATCCGCCCGCTGGGCATCGTGCCCGACCACATCATCATGAACGCGTTGGCCTACCAGGCCGACCCGAGCAGCGTCGAGCCGTGCAGTTCGCGGCTCTCGCCCAAACGGGCGCGGCGCCTGCCCGTGCAGAGCTCACTGGACCCGTACGGCAGCAGCACCACCCTCTCGTCCAGCACGTCCAGCGACATCAATAGCGACCGGCACAGCTCGGACGGCAAGCACAGCTCCGAGGGCGGCTACACGGGCTCGCCGCTCGGCAGGATATCCTGAACGAAGCTGTCCCGAGGCGACAAGTATCAGTAGAAAGCTGGTGTACTCTGACGACCGAGACTCGAGTGGCTATACTGCAGATCATATCAGTCTGTGGCTGCATCCAAGTAATGTTGGTGGGGAGTTTGGGTGGACTCAAATGAAAAGAAGTTGAAAACCGTTAACCGAGAGATACCCTTTTCAAGTTTCTCAGTGCTTGAGCGAGGAACATATTAAAGCATATTTGAATAATGACCTTATCCTCGTATTCAAAAAGGTTAAATCAAAACACCTTTTTATTAAAAATTTCGAGCACAGCTCCTCATCAGAATATCAAGTCGAAAATGCCGCGATAAAAATCCAACCTTTGACTGCATAACTCATTGCAAAATTAATACCCGCCAAACATTTCCGCGCGCAAATTCTCGAGGAATTTGTACTAATTTCTTAACCTTTTTAAATACGAGGAGAGATACCTTTTCACGCAATTAAAAGGCAGGGTGTAAATAAACGTTACGTTTTTGAAAGGGGTTGGGCGGGTTACTCATGGGATGGAGACAGACCTTGCATTGGACGCGCAGCTCCGTCAGTAAGGGTGGAAACGTCTCAGCTCGTGTTGGAACAGTCGGATGATCGCGTAGGTAGGTGATCATTCTGATCATTCTGCCGGACGTTCTGCAATCTTGCAAGTTGCAACTCCTAAAATGTGTATTTCGTTGCCTCCTGAACCCTGACTGCGGTCCAAATCTCCCGAAGGTGTGTCACCAACCGTCACTTGATTGCCACCCGATGTTGTCGACTGTCGTCACAAGTGTTGCACTTTCATGATGAAAAAATGACACGTTTTTAGAGTGAAAGTGCGGAGTCTGTAGGAATGTTATGTACCTATTACCGTATATTTGGGGTCAAATTAGCCCTGGATGCAATTTTCTCCAGTTTGTATCCGACTGCGCTCAGATTGTGTGACTTTGTTTTGAATTGAACCGGAATGAGTAACACTTGTCTGAGTACCTATACCTATGGTCTATGTAGCTTGTCTATGAAACATTACCTTACCATGCATATATCTTTGATCTTTTACACTCTGCAATGGATGTTTTGTATCCATCAGCACTGGGAAGGGAAACTCGTCATTTAACGATATTCACCGCCTGTCAAAAATAAACTTCTTAAAAGTAAACATTCTTCAAAGTTTTGAATGCATCAGTATTGGGAAACGAGCAGACACCGGTGACCGGGTGAGCCCAGCCAGTGGCCGAATATCCATTGGTCGTTTAGGTATTGCTACACCTGGCTATCCACGACGGGCATTTGGGGGTTTTGCTTGACAATCACCGACATGAATGTGACAAATGATATTTCACACGTTCGCATTTTTTATGACTGAAAGTCTGGGAATGCACGGATAATATGCGCCGATATGCGTCAAATCGCCATTCTGGTCTGGCATGGTTTCGAGACAGTGCATGCAGTCGCAGGCCGTACAAGGTCATTTGGATCAGTGTCAGTAGCGGCGGGACACCTTCAATTTGGGGGGGAGGGGCAATGCCGACTTTTAGTCCCATTCTTTCCATGCAACGCCCATAGGGCTAATGTTGAAATACCAAAATCAAAGGGGGGCACGGTGCCCCGGTGCCCTCCCCGTTCCGCCGCCTATGATCAGTGTCATGATTTTTTATTATTTTTTTTGCATACCTACCTATAGCTGGTGTTAAATTATTGAAACGAGAGAACTGAGTTTCGTCACGATCTGCCCCTTTTTACAAGAGTTATTATGCGTGAGTAGAACTGAGAAGCCAAAAGAAGTGAATGTCCATCCAACATCCTCTTTGCGTGTGAGGGTTAGAACAGGCAGAATAGGTAGGAATCTGATATACCACTTTTCTGGATTCACCAATGCACTACAAGACGACGGTACTTGTGGTGCTGTGGGGCAGTTCACCACATATCAGTGACTGGATTTTACGTTAATCAGAAATGGAAAATATCAACCTGGTGCGTGTTCCAAAAATTCAATCAGTTCGATCCAAACGGCCCCAAGTAAAAGAATTAATTTAAGGAGCGGGTTGTTATATTTAAATTACCAAAACGAAGTCAAAAAACCAAAACAGCGAATCAGACAATGGAGCGACGAAGAGACGAGAATGAAATCCAAGTTTGCCAAATATGCCCTGCCTAATCTAAGTTATAAATCCCGGACAGAACGGGCCAAATCGCGGAGCCAGACGTGACGCGTCTGCTCGGGCCAAGAGCTCGGCCAGAAGTCCCTGGGAGCGCGCGGCCCGACGCAGCGGGCCGGGCCCAGACATGCGCAGAAGCACTCGGACACCACGTGGCTGCGGATCGGAGCGCGGATTGGTCACTAGCCGACGCACTGCGGCAGCGCAGGCCGCAGGCACGCGGTCGCATCGTGATGGGACAAAGTTCACGAACAGACACGTCCTGGGCCGCCCCCCAGCGCCGGGGCGGGGTAGCGACGTCACAAGTCGGCGCGCGAATCGGTCTGCGCCGGGAACTCCCGTGCCGGCCGGCGACACACGTGGTTACCACAGTACTCACCGCCTCAGCGCGGAGCGCATACACGATAAGCCAAAACAATCACTTTTCACATCACTCGGTGCGCGACGCGATCGACACTTCACTGCGCGACGCAATAATCACTACACGGTACGGCGCAACGCAATTGTCACTGCACGGTCCTGCGCGACGCAAGAATCACTACACCGCGCGACGCAGTTATCACTTCACTGTCGGCGCCACGCGATCAGGATCGTCCTCGAACGCACGTACGCGGGCGCACTTAAAAGTATCGGAAGTCCGGTTGCGGCCGGAACTGCACGCGGCGGCCGCTGCGGGTGTGCACCGGCGCAGCCGCGGACGGCTTGTCGTCCTTGGCCGGCGATGCGGAAGACGTCACTCCAGGTTTTGAAGTCCTCTTGCTGGACGGTCTTGTAGTCGTCGGCGTCGGTGTCGGCTCGTCGGGCGCCCCAGTAGCGAGGGGCCCGAGCGAGGTCGACGGTGACGGCTGCTGCTCCGGAGCCGTAGGCTCGGTACTGCTCGGACCAAGCGTGTCCTCAGGTGGCGGCATGTGTGCCGGTTTGAGTCTGTCGACGCTTACAGTGTCGTGGGCGCCAGTCGGCAGCTCCAACGTGAACACTTTAGGGCTGCGTCTGATGACTCGCATGGGGCCGCGGTACGGGGACTCCAGAGAGTGCCGCACGCGGTCAACGCGTACCCACACGTGTGTGCATGTCATGAGATCGGGTGGCACGTGCGTCGGTGGTGTGCGGGCGTGGTTCGAGCCCTGTGAGAGTGTGACGAAATCGATTTCTGACATACGCTTTGCCAGTTCTTGGACGTACTTTGTCCCGACGGGGACCTTCTCGACGGCGCAGCGGGGAAACAGCACCTGTGCGCCTGTGACGGCAGTGAATGCCGAAAAACCTGACTCTGCTGGCATAGCTCTCAAACCTAGCAAAACGACGGGTAGCGCGCGCAGCCACTCTTGCCTGCGCGCCCGGATGGCGGCTTTGAGCGTTCGGTGGACTCTTTCCACCATCCCATTACATGTCGGATGATAAGCAGTGGTTCGGAGGCGATGGAAACCTATCATTGAAGACAAGTGTGAAAACAGTTCTGATTCGAATTGGGAACCGCGGTCCGTGACTAGACTACATGCAGTGGCACTCCGAACCGGGACACCCAAGTGTCGAGGAAAGCAGAGGCTACACTTTCCGCGGTGATCGAGACCAACGGCACGGCCTCGACCCACCGCGTGGCGCGATCGATGCATGTCAACAAATAACGAAATGGCGCGGTGAAGGGGTGCCCGTGGGGTACTGACGGGGGCAGCGGCCCGACTATGTCTATATGTACAGTTTCGAACCGCTGTGAGGGCACGTCAAACCGACCAGGCGGAGAACGAGTGTGCCTGTGCACCTTGGCTTCCTGGCATGCTTCACACTCCTTCACCCATCGCGCAATGTCACGGCGCATATCATGCCAGAAATAGCGAGAGCTGATGAGACGGGTGGTGCCTTTCCTACCCGGGTGTGACAGGCCGTGGAAACGATCAAACACGGCGCGCCTGCATGCCTCTGGTACGTACAGTGTGTCTAAAAAGAATGTACCGTCGCCACTACGTGGCGCTGGTGTCGCGAGCCGGTAGTTGGCTGAATCCGCACCAGACCACACATTCCCAGGCGCTAGGTGACAGCTGCGCAGCGGCCGGTAGTAGCGTAAGCCCGAACCTTCGTGACACGACCCCCGGGGGGGGGGGGGAGGGAGGGGAGCGGGCGGGGCAGCGCGTGTAGGGAGGGGTGCTCCAGCAAGCTGGCAGTTGTCGCGGCCAAAGGTCAAGGGGTCACACACCAAGCGAACGGACGCTGATGTGGGTTCGTGGGGATCATGAACTTGTGTGCGGTAGGTGCGTCTTGCGATGCACGGGTGATACGCCAGGTCTAAGCCAAAGGATTCAGGGGAGAGCTGAATAAAACACCTGGTCAACTACGGCGAATAATAGTGCTGAAAAATGGAAAGTATGGGTCAATGCAAGCCTTCATGACTATAAACAACTTTCTGAGGACGCAAAGGCCAGCATTGAATAACGATATCCTGATCGAAATTAGCAATGATTTATAATTAAATGCCGAACTAATAGCGCTGCAAACCCCTCCTAGTAAATTGTCAAGTCGGATTATACCCACTTGAATTAAACTATCCTAAATAAAATTGTTAATTAACTTTCTAACACTGACGTTCTTTATCATACGATAAGTATGGGGTTAACCAAGATTCAGCATCTTCCGCGTTCAAACAATCACCTATAAGGCTAGAACATTAATGGCCAGGTAAAAACATGGTCGGGATTTGATTAAACGGATTATAAGTCGATTTTTTTTTTAGTCGGGATTTGATAAGTCAGATTCTTTTACGCCAACCGCATTTTTAAGTCAAGTCAGGTCACTGATCTATGACGTCATAAATGAGCAGTCCTAAAATGAACTGTGAAACTGTCCTAAACTGTCCTCAACATTTTAGGACTGTGTGCACACTCCTAAAATGTTTAACTTCGCTACATCCTCAGTGCAGAGCTTTCATAGGGAGATTAAACTTACAGGATCTTATAGTATGATCGAGAGTCTCACAACTTGTATAAATGTATATCTCGGATTTTCTGAAGGGTCGCCTGAGATCAGGTTAGTCTCTCACCATTAAAAGTCAGGGGAATATGGAAATTGCTAGTTTGGTCCGGAAATGATATACAACTATCTCAAATTCTCAAGCACACGGAATCGTGATTTCATGCGCTTCTTGCAAGGTCTGATGCTTTAATTTTGCTTTATTGATCTTGCGTGACGTCATTTATCACGTAACCAAGGGTATCAGTTTTTCGTCAATAATTCCCGATCAACTAAAGCTACCGAGTCGATAAAGCCACTAAATGAAAAGACCTGCCGAATCGATTGATATGCAATATGATCTCCTTTGACCAGCTTCGTGACCTGACGGGCTGTGACCTGACCTTGACCCGAGGTTAACACCTTAACTCTCGCCCATATTGGTGTTTTTCCAGCCGCAAACGTATCAGGGGGGGGGGGGCCCGTTGGACCCTCCCTTGCCGTTTCGCCCCTGATCGAGCTAGAGCTTCGCGGAAAAAACGAGCGTGTTGGCCGTGACGAGAGCAAGTCGATGATACCCAATTTTAAGGTCCTAGGTCATCGGCTGACTTTCCAGGTCAGGTCAATGACCCAAAAAGTCGGGAAAATCGGGCCTGTTAGAAAGTCGTAAAGCGTGGCTGCTATGGGGTTTTCGGGGTGCTGATCACGAATATCATGTTAGTTTTGATCACAGATGATGTCTTCATGCATTTAGGCCAGGTCGGGTCAGGTCAGGTCAGGTCAACCAGTAAGGGTATTCGTAGTAGGTGGCAACCGCCTCTGACAGCTTCGCAACATGTTACGAGGGCACCAAAACTACTTCGTAAATGTTCATATGGCTGATAAATTCGAATTCAGCTCCTAAAACTGGCCTAGAAACATGTAAAACTCGAAAAAGTGAACCGAGGTCATCAAAGGTCAATGACCTGACCTGACTTTCCGGTGACCTTAACACCCACCCTAATGCATGGAAGCAACATGATATCCCATGTTTGAACGCTTAAAACCACGAAAAGGCTGC